GAGAACTACTCATTTAAGGGATTATATGGGTTTATGGGTTTTCTTATTAAATTCTACAGTACCTTTAGAATATTGTCCTAAATTTTCAAATTGATCCGGGTCTCAGAGTTACAGCCTCGAGAACTTGTAGGCTCGAATCTAGCTAGGCTAAGTGCGCCAGCTTTAAACGAGTTTTTCTCGAAACTGTATTTTGGATGTCGGTTGGCAAAATTTCTCGAGAACTACTCAATCGATTTTCGAAAAATTTTACCAGGTCTTCGAGATACAATTTTTAAGGGGAGAAAAATATCGAGAAATTTTCACTGAAATTTAAATTTTTTTGTAAGAATGTCTGTCAAAAATCGAATTTTTATTTTTTTCTTCGTGAAAGTTCTAAGTTTGAAGATCTTATTCAATAAAACATGTATTTTTCACTTCAGATGACCGTGTAAGGAGTTATCCGGCGGGCGCATCTTTTTTCCGAGGTGTCACCGGAAAGGTGTTGCAATGGCTGAGTTTCAAATATTTTTCTCCAAAAATTTCAAAATTTTAGTTATTTTAATTAGCTAATAGTATATGTATGTAACAATAAAAAAATTCGAATGAAATATTTTATTTTTTTTATGAGAAAAATGTTTTGAAAAAAGGCTGTTTTTAAGTTAACAATATATTTTATACTGTTATTGAACCAGTTAGTGAAACTTTTTTCTTGTTTTTCATTATAGAACCTGATAGCGGGAAGGCTGTTTTTATCAACTGAATTCGTCTCGGACCTTTCATCATTAAAAAGGTAAATAGACAATTTTCTAATTAGTGTCGTAAAAACTCCTTAGTAATAATTCAATCAACCAGTAATTATTTCGGTTAACTTTAATATGCTATCATATTGCACTTACTTTATAGACTTATGCAAATCTTTACTGCTAAAATTTATAACTTATTACTATTATAAACTCTAAAGCTATGTAATTTATATCCCAGTCGTAGAATTCAGTTTCTTTTCGTTGTAAAATTGCTTCTTGAATACAGATGTCTCCCTAAACCTGACGAACTTATTTCATATAGTTTTTCAAGATCATATTTTTCGCACAACAGTTGTAGACTATTTAAATGTGAATATCTTCAAACATGCCGTCATATGGTGGAAACCGTTTACCTTCTATCTAAAATTCAAATCGAAAGTACTTTGACCCCATACAACGTTATTTTTAAAAAACTTTGTGTAATTCCGATAGTCTACATATTTTCAACTCTAAAACATAAATAATACAGTATATTAGAAAGCACAGTTATTTGGTACATAAACCAATAATCGCTTAACCGTGTATAACTTTAACAAAGAGAAGAAGTGAGTGAGAAGTGAGAAGTGGCGAGTGAGTTTAACGCCATTACTTTACTGTCAATTTCAAGAGCACCAATTTAGTCACGATCTTCATTAGGCTAGATCAGGCGATATGAAAATTGCACAAAGAAAGTCATGCGTGTGTGAGAAAATGTATAGTATGTATGTATAGATTTACATTTAGGTACACAATTGTGAGTAAATCGCCAAACCAGTTCAGAAGCTGCGCAAAAACATCAATCCGTCAGACAGCAACGTAAGTCATCAGCGGGACGCAATGCCTCAACTACCAACGACACTCGACAGTCAACAAGCAAAGTCAAGTTACCACCAACGATAGCAGCACATAAGCAGCTAGGCAGTTGAATACAAGTGAGAAATAAGAAATAACACAAACCGCCAACAATGAAACGTCAAAACAAGTTGTTGGCGCTTTTTATCGGCGTTTACGCCAATGTGTGTCTGTAAGCCGGCCGGCGCTTTTGGACATTCATAACTCGGATCGATTTGAATCGACAAACGATCGCTGAATTGCGCTTTAGCGACACGCACACACAGGCAGACATCACTTGTTGTTGTTAGTGGCTAGTGGTATGGCCCATACAAGCTATCCGACGAAGCCGTCGTGCTGTCTAACCGCAATTGGTAAAAGTATCTCATAGATAAGTTGCGCCGATCAATAAAATCGGCAATCTGTTTTGCAGCTCTGCAAGGTAGCGCAGCTGTCAAGGCTGACATTGCCATTTGCAACAGGCGGCGAGCTGCAGCAGTCAAGTGGCATTGGCAGACACCAACGAGCCGTTCGAGCCGTGTGGTGCGCTGTTGCAGGTGAGCAACAATGTTGCCGCACTTGGCGCAAAAACCTGACTTTTGTCTATCGATATCGGCTAACTGCTGCAGCGCTTATCAGTCGCCTATAATCCTGCCGGTGCAATTGCCGCATTTGTTTGAATGCAGCTGTTTTGATTGTTTGTTTTGTTACTTTTTTGTTAGCCCATTCGTTGGGCATTTTGAACGTTCGAGAGTGTGAGCGTGTGTGTCTTCTCCGTTATATATATATGTATCTAATTTGCTGTTTGTGTGTGTGCATCTGCAGATTGGCCGATAAATTATCAAGTGACTCGAACAGTACGAGCTCTACGTGCAAGTACCTTTGGCTATTTCACTGTTACCGGCACTTTTAGCTATCAATTGCTAACTGTTTTCGCCCGCACACTCTACCGGTGTTGCCATTGTACACCAACAAACTGACACTTCACTGTTACTTTTCCATTTCGATTGCTTTTGCAGCAGTGATTGCACGATTTTCCACTTTTGTCGGCACTTTTGACACTTCGCCCGCGGCTGCCTGTTGCATGTCTCCCCACCGCCAGTTGTGCTTGCACCAAAAGAAGTTAGATTTATACTTGTGTACACGCACATACAGTTGTGGTTGTGTATAGGCGATGTCTTTCTGTTCGTTTGGCGCACACGTGTTCACGAGTTGATCGCTTGGACCTTCTCACTTCTGGGCAACATGTGCGGCAAGACACAACGGCGTCGAACACTTAAAGTTTCTGCTCGAGGGCAAATTACAATTGGCAGTACTTAGTTGGTGTTGTATCCATGAATTGAAAAATTTCACACTGAATGCTAGTAGCACTCGCATTTTAACCAAGTAGGCTAATGTAGGCCAGCAAGCATGTTGGGCGTTCATTGTGTACATACTGAATGGTAGTCCATTAGGTGGCATGATAAACGATGGGCTTTAGTCTCTATATATAATTGTAAAATCATTTTCATTGTGTATATTGCTGGTGGATTGTTGGCATGGATGGATATTTCCAAAATAAAGCGATAAACTTTCATATTCATACGTGGTGGCATATGTGCGGGGTTCCAAGCCATAAGATCATTCGGTGAAACAAATTAGTTGCTGATATTGCTGTATGGCTTTTGATCAATGAAATTTCCGAAAGGGCTGACAGATGGATCGATCAAGGTTATGTATAATCTCTTAAAGACATGTAGGATCACAATGATCCTAAGATCCATGGGTCCCGAAGTAAAACACTCATGATTTTTGCTCACACGGTCTAGAAAAGACTGCAGTGCGGTTGTTGGTTTAGTGATAGCTCAAAGCTTACTTGGCATCACATGCGAGCTGGATGGGTATTAGCGATGCTGAGACATACCGAAAGTGCAGGGAAGTCGGTATTAGAGAGTCGCTGGGACATCTTCTCTGAATCTTGACTGACTGGATACCTTGGAGTCTGCTTGATGTGACTATATGAAAATTTAATGTTTTGATGCGTGTCTGAATAAAAATTTCTTTATACTTCCAATGTAGTAATATTGCGCCGATATCAAAACTAATTATTTTCTGTTCGCTTCTTATTTCAGAACACCATATTGTTAGGGCAATCATCAGCTAATTTTATAATTCTTTAGTCATCTGTCATTGACACGTAGACAGTAGGCTTGTTTTGCTTCTTAAAAGTCTTTGTTGTTGTTTTCTTTTCTTTAAACATGCTGTGCTGAGCTGCGCACTTAGTATTTTTGTTGCATATCAAGGCAACAATTAGCATTGAGTTGCTGATGTTGATGTTGCAGCACGCACTGTTTATCCAAGCTAAAGGCGTGCGTCTTTTGTTATTGGCGTTGCAGTGTTTATGTTGAATGCACAAAATGCCAATTTTATATAATATTGATGTAAAAGCGCTTGAGTGCATTGAAAGTAGTGGCATACAACTTATAATTTTGCATGCAACTGCCTGGCAGTAATTACTGTCCGAGCGCATATGGCTAATATGCAATGAGCACTGAGGTATTGTTTATAACTACTTATATTAGGGTGGATCGACCCTTTTTCTGTAAGTTCACTTTATTTAGGATATTTTGTTTTTATTTCGCAACAACAAAAATGTTGGTGATTTTGATAGGATTTTCCAAAATTTGGCTTTTCTTCGCTTTCATTACGAAAAATAAATTACTTCACATGGGTCACAGTAAACTTATAAGTCATTAAAGAACACTTTTTTAACAGCATTTTTTTTTTAATTCCACAATGATTACACGTAGTCAAGTGATTCCTATCGCTATCATTTTTTTTACAAGTAATGAAGTTCTCCAGAAATGACCTGTCAGCTGGAGGACCAAAAATTACCAAAAATTTTGTGTAAAATTCAACATTTTCTTTTAAAAATTACTCAGTTTTGGAAATTATAGAATTACCGCAGGTCATTGTGCTGATAATAACAGCAGTGATTTTTTTAATTGCCTTACCCTAATGTAAAACATACGCAACTAACTAGCATATCAAATAGATTATATAGTAAACCCATTGCACCTTACTCCGTTTGTTGCAACAACTGGTCTCATACTATTGCTCGGCTGGCGACGGGCTTCGCCTCCTGTCCATTGTTTGTTGTGCAGCAAAAAAGCCCGTCACACAATTCCCTAGTTGCGTGTAGGCATGTCTGTCTATCAATACACTGCCGTCTCTACTTTGCATACATCAAAATGCGCCAGCATAAATATGCGCAATCGTTTTTTAGGCTTTACTTGCCCCTGCCATTTTATATAGATATATATTTTTTCATGCACCGCCACAATTATTGCAACACAAAAATTGCACAGTTGTTGCAGCGCACATCACGGCTGAGGGCAATCAACATTGTCTGTCTAGCGCTGACATATGTTTGTGTGTTTATGCTGCCGCTGCAGTGACATGGCTCGGCATTCGCCAAGGGGCATAAGCGCATAGCAATGACAATTGCAAAATATTTAGCAAATATGAACTTCTGACTCAATTGCCAGTAAAAACGGGCAACGCAGCTTTTGAATGTCCGTCGACTGTTGATATTTATTATTTGTTTTTTTTCGGCTTAGTAGCTTTGGCTATTTTATTTTTTCGCAAACGCTAATGAAATAGCACACAGACACACGCAGACATATGCGCCTTTGTGCACATTTCCGGTTTTTTGTAATGTGGCGTCGGCGTCTGCCGGCATCATCATCATCAGGCGCAGATTTTCAACACTTTCTCGCCGCGCGGACGAGCTGCTGTGATTGCAGCGTTGCGGTTCATTTGCGCAGCAGATCAGTTCCGTTTTGTCTCGGCACATCCGCCCGCGCAGACGCCACAATTCAATCATCATTTCCCGCCAGCAGCCTGCTTGATTCCTCCATCCCGTCCGTCCCGTCTCTACTCATGAGCTGTGCTCTATGTCTAGCTGTCGCTGCAATTACGCGCTAACTAAGCTGTCAGCAATGTCACTGCGCTGATCCGTTTGTGGTTGAATTTTTATTTGTAATATTTATACTTTTATTGTATCATTTCTATTCTTAATTTATTTTATTTTCTGTTTTCTAATTTTGAATTGTGTCTAGTTCAAGGTCGTAAAGTCACCGCTGGCGTAGGAAACTTTCAAATTACAAACATGAGTGTTTGTTGGTATGTTTGGTAT